AAGCAACTGGGCTGAAGCGTGTCAGTTGCTGCTGCTGCTGCTGCTGCAGGTTCTTTCTCTCCCCAGATCGGAGCCCGCTGGGGCTGCACGCTGTGAAACTTGGTGGCTGCAATTTTCTGCTGGGGGGTAAGATTTAAAAAGCCTCTTTCAAGTTGAAGGTGGATCCTTTGGGAATGGATTCCCTCCAGAGATTGTGGGGGCTTCCCATCACTGGAGGCTTGTGACAGAGTAACACAGCTGCAAAGAACCTTGGAGGTCTTAATAATCATTTCAGACCAATGGCTGTCCCGTCTTTGTTTCAAAGCCACCAGTGAAGGAACACTCACAGCCTCTGGAGGGAGGCTATTCCCGAAGAACCAACCTTAACTCAAAAGAAACTTTTTAAATCATCCAGGCAGCAGAAAACTGCAGCCATTCTGTTCCACTGGCTAATTGTTCTCACTGTGAGGAAATGTTTCCTTAGTTGTAGGTTGCTTCTCTCCTTTGATTAGTTTCCATCCATTTGTTCTTGTTTTGCTTTCTGGTGCTTTGGAAAATAAGTTGACCCCTCCTCAAGTATTGCAACACTGCTACTATGTGACCCCCTAGTCTTTTCTTTCACTAGACTAGACATACCGATTCCTGTAACCCTCCTTTATATGGTTTAGCCTCCAGCCCATTAATTATCCCTATTGCTCTTCTCTGTGCTTTTTTATACGCCTTTTTAATATTGTGTTGATGAAAACTGGTTGCAGTTGTGATCCAAATGTGATCTTAACCAAAGGATTATAAATTGGCACTAATACATCATGTGATCTTGATTCTATCCCTCGGTTTAGGCAGCCAGAGTTTCTCAAACTTCTTGAGTTGTTTTCCCCTTTAAGATTTTCATCCATGGAATCCTTCCCAAGCTGTCTCTTGGTTTGTTAAAATCAACTGTTTTAAAGTCTAAGACAGTGGTTCCCAAACTTTTTCGGTCCATCGCCCCCTTGGTGCTACAAACTCATCCTCAGTGCCCCCCCACCCAGGGGAGAGATTCAAATTTCTGTGGGTGTGGCCTAATTTGAGGGTGTGACTTGCTGGTCACCTGACTGGGTGGGCGTGACTTGCTGGTCACCTGACTGGGTGGGTGTGGCTCACTGGTCACGTGACTGGTGGCGTGGCTTGCTGGTCACATGACTGGGTGGTGTGGTGTGGTGACTGGCAAACCAAATACAAGTGGTCCTCACTTAATGGCTGATTGCTTAGCAAGTTTTCTAATTTATGACTGGCCTCTCCAGAACTACTTGACCTGTTTTTGGAGTTTTGACAGTCATGCAAACAAACACATATACACATACTCCCTTCCAACCGTGCTGGAGTAGGTCATTGGACTAGAATCAGCAAAGCAACTCTGATTAGATTCTAGTAGTGAATAAAATCTAATCAGAGATGCTTTGCCAATTCTTGTTGATTTGTTTTATTTGTACTTCTTTATTTTATGTTGCTGAATTGCATTGACATGTCTGTCCCTTCTTGTGCACAACCCAGAAGCTTTTGTGATTCTTTGCAGCAAAAATTACTGACCTCTGGCTTTGCTCTACTTTTCAAACATGCCGCCACTGCCGCATTCTAGGTGCCAGCACTGCAGGTCCACCCCATTGAGCCCGCTGCACTGGAGGGACCTGCCCAAGCAAGTCCGAGCAGAGCGGTGCACCAAATCAATGGGGTGAGCCTGGGAGAGGGAAAGAGAGAGAGAGAAAAAGAAAGAAAGAGAGAAGGAAGAAAAGAAAGAGAAAACGGAAAGAAAAAGGGACAAAGAAAGGAGGGATGGAGGTATGGAGGAGGGAGGGGAGAGAGGGAGAGAGAGAGACCTGTTGCATCAGATTGAAATGAGGCCTAGTTTTGAGGCCCTTTTCCACACTGAAACATCTTTGCCAGCACATTGAAATATCTTTGGCTTCTATTAATTAAAGGTTTTGTGGATGAAACATGGCCAAGACCAGTGGCCCCCCAACCTTTTTTGTGCCACGGCCCGATACCGGCATCACAAAATGATCCGCGGCGCGGTATCGGCATCAGCACACATGACAAGGCAAGGCGAGCTGAGCGACCAGCCAGCCAGCCGCCCCCCACTTCTCCTCGCCACCTTCAACTCCTCCTTTGTACCTTTGTCGATGGGCTTCAGGGCGGCTTCGGGATGGTTGCTCGGCTCGCCTTGCCTTGGGTGCTGAAAGAATCTTCACGCCTTAGTTTCGTTTGAAGCCGCCGCCCCCCCCTTCAATGAAACTAAGGCGCGAGGATTCTTTCAGGACCCAAACGCCGCTTTCCAACCGAAAAAGTTCACCCGGAAGCACTTTCTCATTGAAACAAGATGGCGGTGCCCAGCAAATTGGCGGCCCGGTAGAAAATGTTCCACGGACCGGTACCGGTCTGGGGCCCGGTGGTTGGGGACCCCTGGCCAAGACTATCAGGAAGCTCTCACATTTTGTTGAGGCTTTAAACAGGATCCATTGGACCAGATCTCCACCCTAAAAAATTACTTTTCCCCAATGTGTTACAGTGCCAATTCTGAAGAAGGAAAAACTAAAATGTATTGGTAAATTACAAAGAGAACACACACACACACAACACACACACACTCCCTTTTAACTCTGCTGGAGCAGGTGATTGGACTAGAATAGATATCTCATTATCTTTCTCCTCCCTCCCTCCCTTCTTCTTTATCCCTTTTTCTTTCTTTCCCTTTTCTCTTTCTCTTCTTCCTTCTCTTTCTCTCTCTCTCTCTTTCCTTTCTCTTTCCCTCTCTCAGGCTCACCCCATTGACTTCGTGCACCGCTCTATTCGGACTTGCTTGGGCAGGTGCCTCCGGTGCAAGAGGCTCAATGGGGTGGACCTGCAGGGCCTCGCTCCGAACACGGTGGCGGCGGGGTGTTTGAAAAGGAGAGCAAGGCCACTCTGTCTTTGCTCTTCTTTCCCAACGCTGCATTCGGGGCAAGGCCCTGCGGGATCACCCCGTTGAGCTCCTTGCACCAGAGCGTGCAAGTCAATGGGATGATCCTGCGGGGCCTCGCCTCGAACACGGCAGCAGCGGGATTTTTTTTCACCCCTAAATTGTGCCCTACAGCGCCCCCTGCCAGCCCCCTTTGCCTCTCAGCGTCCCCCTAAGGCATCCCACCGCCCCCCCGGGGGCAGTACTGCCCACTTTGGGAACCACTGGTCTAAGACGTTCGTTTTACTTTGCTCTATGGCTTGTGTCTGCCTTATATCGAATTCCAGTATGACATGGTCACTCTCCTCCAAATTACCAGCAATTTCAAACCACCACCCCCTCTATAATTTCATCTCTGCCAGGAAGAATTTAGATCACTATAGGAGACCCCTAGTTCCCTCTTCTACCTTTTGGACGACAAAGTTAGGAATCTAATGGAATTTAAGGACAGGGAATATAAGACAAGGCTGTCAAACTGGCGGCCTGCGGGCCAGATAAATCACATGCAGGCCACGCCTACCCCAGCTCCGCAAAGTGGGAAAACGTCATGAAATGTCATGTGATGGCAACGTGACATGGCAAGTTCGACCCCCGTGCTTTAAGACAAGATTGGTCAGCCATTTGTCCGGAATGATATAAGGCATATGTGAAGGAGATTGGACTAGAAGACCTCCAAGGTCCGTTACAACTCATAACTTAATCTGTTATGGACTCTTGGCAACACAATTGGACTGATTCTGCCACTAGTCTTTTTCTGGGATCTTTGTTTTTTTTAACTTCCATGTCTTGCCAATAAGCACGGTATTTTCTATTGGTGCCGCATCCATGTATTAACCAGGTTCAAACTGTTCCTTTTTTTAAAAAAAAAAAAAAGCTATTGAGAACCTTGGGGTGTTCAGTTGTATAAGTAGTCCTCGCTTACCATTTGTTCCTTGAGCCTTTAAAGTTACAGTGACACTATAAAAGCAGGTGTACACCTGGTCCAGAAATCTGTGTTCATCAGGGACCTGAATAAGTCAGCACTTCCTGTGGTTATGAAGTTGCAGGAAGAGGAGAGACACCGACTTGGGTTCTACCAACCGTTGCACATTTATGATGGCTGCAGCATCTTACATTCAGGATCCCTAATTGTGAGCTAGATTCTGACACGCAAAATTAGTGGGAATGCTGGCAGGAAATTGCAAGTTGCAGTTTGTAAAATTGCCTTTAAGAACCCACAGGGATTTGCTTAACAATGGCAGAGGAACAGATGTAAATTGGCACGGTCATGTGGCATCAGGCTTCAGGACCGGCTGCTTAGTGACACAGAAGCCAGTCCCAATTGCACTCAGTAACTCAGGACTGCTTGAATTGGGATGTCACCAGACTATAGGCAGTATTTTCTACTCTTTATTTGCAGCTGAGGACTTTCATGAGCAAAACTGGTGCTTCAAAACTTGCAGAGGCTTTAGGCAACATTTCATCAGTTAAAGCCCCACATCTCTAAATTTAGCTCAGAAGGTTTGACTGTAACCATTTTGGGACATTTTGTCAGGCTGAAAACTCATGGAGCTTCCACATATATTCATTTGCTTCCACATATATTCATTTGGTTTTTGTAGCCATATTTCTTGTTAGAGTTTGCAGCAGAAATTCAAGTCCAGAAAACACACAGATGACTGACTCAGCAGGATTCATTAAACTTCTTTTTATATAAAATAAATGGGTAAAGTTTACAATACCATTTGTAGTTTCTCTCAACGTAACATAAGCAAAAAACACAAGCAAGTTAGTTTTTCTTTCACTTTAGAGCTGAGCACAGAACAGAGATAAACCACGTCCAGATTCTCTCTTTAAGTTTCAGCCCCCAATTCACCTCTGATTGGTTGACCTTGTTACTAAGCTTTATTCCAGTTCATGAATATACTCTGACATTTCTTTCTGAATGTATACATCTACAATTATATAATCTATCCCCAGTACATCCAGATATATTTGATGATAACCCTTTGCAGTGCTAAGAATTTGTGATTGACCCAAGTCAACAACATAATTTCATGGTTGAATAGATATCTTGGTAGTCTTCCATGTATCAAATGAATCATAATTAATGTAAGAGGTTATTCTAGCATGTGACATGTTTCTTTTTCACTGTGATGTATTTTTTTTCACATCTTCTCCAACCATTTTATACACAATTAAAGTTACACTTTTCTTTGAAACTTGTAGAGAAAGAGGATGGCAATAAGAACACTCTGGACAACTGAGAATAACAAGCAACGTTGAAAAGGAAATAAAATTGATCCAGAAATCAAAATATATTCAATTTTCTTCAGAAAACCACACAATTTTCCTTCTCCAGCAGCTGATAGACAAAAGAGAGAAATCTAACATGAGATTTTGAGCGGGAAAAAGGAGAGTATACGAAACTCAAGGATACATTGCATGAAAGATCAAGGAATATTATTTTTCATTCAGAAAAAAACTGAAATATCTGGAAGTTAGCGGGGAGGAAAAAGTCTTATTGGGCACAGTGCATAGGGCAAACAATGATGCAGGCCTTGCTCTGGGAAGAAACGAACAGCTTGAATCAAAGCACTACCGAATAAGGGATCATCTATACTTTTGACCTCAAGAATATCAGTTGGAGAAAAGCTCCATAGATCTGCTTATTGTAGGAAAAGCACAGATTGCAAATCATAGCTGATTACGCAAGATCTAAACTGGAGAAAAGCCATACAAATTATCTGAATATGACAAAAGATTTAGTCAGAACAGCTCCCTTGTGGTTCATGGAACAACCCATATAGGGGAGAAGCCATACGAGTGCTTCCGATGTGGTGAATATTTTAGCGAGCATGGCAACATGGTGATACATCACAGGACACCTATCACATAAGAGTGTCCAGATGGTGTGAAAGTTTCATTGGAAATTACCACCTTACAAGACAACACAGGAGAGAAACCCTTTGAATGCCCTATCTGTGGGAAAGGTTTTAGTCTGAATTGCCGCTCATGAGATACTAGAGAACTCACATGGGGAAAAAATACATTTGAATGTCCTTTCTGTGGGAAAGATTTCAGTTACAATTCCAGCCTGCTGGCACACCAGAGAACTCATGCGGGATAGAAACCCTTTGAATGTACTGATTGTGGGGAAAGTTTCAGTTGGAATTATAAGCTGGTGACACAGCAGAGGACTCATACAGGAGAGAAACCATTTGGAATGTCCAGATTGTGGGAAACGTTTCAGTGAGAATTATGAGCTGGTGATACACCAGAGGACACACACACAGGAGAGAAACCATTTGAATGTCCTGGTTGTGGGAAAAGTTTCAGTCAGAATTCCAACCTGGTGAAACACCAGAGAACTCACACAGGAGAGAAACCCTTTGAATGTCCTGGTTGTGGGAAAAGTTTCAGTTACAATTCCAGATACACCAGAGGATTCACTCTAGGGAAAAAACCATATCAGTGTCCAGATTGTGTGAAAAGCTTCCTTTGGAATTTTGAGCTGTTGAGACACCAGAGAACTCACACAGGAGAGAAACCATACAAGTGTCCAGACTGGGAAAGATTTCAGTACTAAGGATAGCCTTATAAATCATGTCCTTATACACACAGGGGAGAAAACATTTAAGTGCCTTGAGTGTGGACGGTGCTTCAGGAAACATTCCACCCTTATTGCACCCTTATCCTAAAGTGATGAGTGATGGCCTAAAGTGATGAGTGTAGAGAAGGCTTGAATTTTAAGTCCAGCTGAGAAATTGACTCTTATTTGACTACAAAGAATTTGCTTGATTGTTTTTGTCATCAAATATGCCATAGTATTAGATGGGAAGGAGGAAAGAAAAAATTGGAACATATTAGTTTGATAATGGCTATCTGGCTGGCCATCAGCAGCAGAAGTAGCTGGATATTTATTTCTGCCGAAATGGTGCAATTCAGCAAAAATCTTTTTAGGAGGGTTCTCTCCATTTTTATCAATAATAAATGATAGAAATGCCACATGCAGAGTCCCAGCCTTCTTCTCCCTGGGTATCCTCAAGATTTTCCACCCAAAATTTCCCAGGCAGAATCTCTTTGGGATAAGAGCACTTAGGCTATAGTTAGAGATTGCGGCTCCTCATACAAGGGGAAAACAAGAGGAAAGAGAAATCGTTTATCTTTTCCTAACAATTCCATAGGGTTCAGCGTTTTATCTTTTCCTAACAATTCATTGAACCAAGCATGTCTGCTCAAATTGTGAATGAGACATGCAAATGAATATGAATAGCAAGTGTTTTGGAGGAGTTTGAGGCAATGACAAAAGCAGTGTAAAATTTCAGATGTAAAGGCTGTTCCGCCTTGCAGGTGACCTTCATCAAGAAGAGCTATAGGACTACTGAGTTGAGGAGAAAAGGGATGGTGGTTTTGAGCACAGGATCTCCAGCATTATTTGCAAGTCCTGCTGTGATCTCCTTCACTTGGAGGTGCCTCCTTGTTAGTCTTTGATGGCTGGGAGGTGTGAGCAGAACCAAGGTATTGATACTTTTGTGGTTCCCCCCTTGATAGGAAAACGTGAGGAAAAAAATTGTCCAGTAGGTAATGTTTCATTTCTAAAACAGCATTGCATAAGAAGCATGAATAGATCTTGGGGCGGTGGGAGGAAAGTTTCGGCGTTTCTGTAAACATTGGGACAATAAAGCTCTCTTTCCAACACGGGAGACCTTTCCTGTTCTTTCACGTCTCTCCCAGGATTCCTTAATTTGTTTCAAAAATTCCTTCAGTTAAAGTGGAACATCATTTGTGGCAGCAAAAGTGATATTTTAGCTACGCAGATGGATTATCCTGATTTTGTTGGGATTGGAAGACACCAAAGCGTTCCAAGCTTGTTTATTTCACCAACAAGATTCAGAAAGACAGGTCACATTGCATCTGATCCCTTTGAAGGATATTCGGTGACCAGGAGATGATCAGGATTGGCCTGTGGAGAAACCAAGAGGTCCCTTGGCCTGAGTCTCAAGCTCCAAGTGACCCGGAATTTAACTATGTGCAAAATTTCTACAATTTAAAATAGTAAAAGGCTTAATATGTTTAATCACTTTTCTTTTTTCTCTTTCTTTGGCGTGTCCTATTTTAGTGCACATCTTTATCATGTCTCATTTTATTATGGTTAGGAGTTGGAAACTCTTCCAACGATCCCAAAGCCTCTGAATCTCTTAAATAAAGCCAACCGAAGAGTCAGAGGGAATGATCTACATGTCAGCGTTCCAAGTAACAGGCCCAATGAAATCAAAACTCTACGGCTTGAATTCTCCTCGAAGTAATTGTTTATTAGGAATGCCATATTGGCATAGTTGGTGAACATGAGGTTCTCCCCACCCAAATCAAAACCCAAAGGTCTTGTCACAGACCTTCTTCGGCTACCTCGGTCCACGCCCTTCCAAACGCCTGGTGGGAAGGTCCTTGGGTCCCACGGGAAAGAATGTTATTTTATTGATAACTCCCCCAGTTATCTCTACCTCCCCCCTCATATTCCCCCAGCAGCAGCTGACTTGCTGTGGCAGCCCTGAAGATTTTCAAAATAGTTTCAGGGCTGACAGCATGTTTTAGTTCACCCTAGAGGAGAAAAGCACACCCACCCAGAATCATATGAGCTTGTATGAAACAGGGAAGATTAGGGGGAAGAGGAGGGAGAGAGCAAAGGGTGCTCACATCACCTGCCTCTTCGGAGTGTCTTGCATGCACCAGCCCTCATGGCCGACATTTAAGCAAAAGGATGTTTTTGGCGAACAGAGGTGCAACCCCATGAGATGATTCGGAGTGAGGGGCGGGGGTCCTCGGCCTCCAAATAAGGTTTCTTTTACACCGAAGTCCTCTTTCATCAACCATTGCTTCCCATGCTTGTCCTTCCTACAATCCCGCTCACCTCTCAGGTTCACTCACTCTCAAGTGCCCGTTGCTCCCAGTATTGCTGTCGGGGTTATCACCTTTATTGTCTTTGTTGCAGCGCTCTGGTGCTCCAAAGCCTGCCGCTATTGCCTCCTCCCTCGCAGAGAGGCTGAAATGCGGAGGGCTGAGGGTGACATTGTGTGTATTTTCCCCACCAGCACCATGGGTAGACCATGAAGTCGCTGAAGCCTAGGATGGTAGGTATAGGTGGCGGTCATTCTGTTCAATGCTGCCGCCCACAAAGATAATAAGGTGGTGGAGGGAGACCTGTTCTGGGCCTGCCGTGCTCAGCCGAAGGGTACAGTCCACCTGGGGGTGGGGGGAGGGCGAGGCTCGGCCACCTTTTGCTTGGCTCTTGGCTTCCACAGGGCCTCCAGGTGCTCGCCCTCCCTCCCCTCTGTTTTGGGTCTCATATCTAGCCCACAACAAGGGGATGTGCCGCTTTCAGGCCAGCCTAGCCAGCAAGTGGCCCTCAGAGGAGAGTGCTGCACTGGGGCTGAGTCCGCCGTATTCCTAGAAAGGATGGGAGGAAAGGAGAAGCACAGAGGAGAAGCACTTCCTCTTCTGGATGACCGATGGGAGGAAGGTGGTGTGCACAGTGGCTTTTGTGCTCTTCTAAGGAACAAAGCAGCAGCTGGAAGGTGAGTTGAGGCTAGGCTGAAGCATAGCAGCTGCTGGTGCATGTTCCTTCCCTCCCCAGATTGAAGCCCACTGGTACTGTAAACTCTGAAACTGGTGGCTGCAATCTTCCGGTGGGAAGATTTTAAAAATCTATTTCAAGTTAAGGTTGATTCTTTGGGAATGTCTCCCCTCGACATGTTATCAGTGCTCCATCACTGGAATGAGCTGAAACTTCTACCCCTCTCCTCTGCTCGTTTCAGACAAGTGGCTGTGCAGTCTCTTTTTTTAAAAAGCCACCGCTGATGGAGCTCCCACAACTCCTGAAGACAAGCTGTTCCACTCGTTAATTGTTCTCACTGTCAGTATTGTGTCCTGGGAAAGGAGTTTGTCATAACAGGAAGTTCTAGGTTGCTTCTCTCCTCGATTAGTTCCATCCATTGCTTCTTGTCTTGCTTTCTGGTGCTTTGGAAACCAAGTTGACGACATCCTCTTCTTTATGTCAACTCCTCAAGTATTGGAACTCTGTTCATCCATTCGGTGTTTGTATTTTTACTTCC